CACTGGCGGCCGTGCCAGACTTATGTGACGAAAAAGCAGAAACGCCAGACTCCCTGCGGGAGGCAGCAGCATCTTCCTCCTCAGAGCTGTGTGTGTTCGAGGATTCCCGACGAGATGGGGAATGTTCCAAGTCCGAATCCATCAGAGCCGCCTTCTCGTCTGGCTCCATCTCGCCCCCAAAAGTCTCGTCCTCCTCAATTCTATCGTTGCCGTCCGGAGCGGCAGCGGAAGCCAGCTTCTCCTTCTCAGCCTGGATATCGTCCATCATGGAACTGATTGTGTGCCCAGCCTCGTCTTCGTCGCCCGTCTCGTTGACCAGCGTGCTAGATTTCGTAAGGTTTGAATCGGTCATACCATTAAAGGATCTTGGTGTGTGGTAGTCGTAGCCGTCGTTGCTGAAGCGCCGGGCGTGCAGTGCAGAAGCAAAGTCCCTAGCCTCGGTCTGCTCATCCAGCTCGTTGGCAGCGGGCGAGTCTTCGTGTATTTCAAAGTCCAGGTCCCGTTGGTGTTGTTGTCTTCTGTTACGCCGGGGCATTTGAGGACCGGTCTGGCGTTCATGCAACAGCCAGAGTTTGGTTTATTAAGAGAGTGGTGGTATAAACAATGCGGAAAAAGGGGGGGCGGTTTGCGTCACACAGTACGACGAGAGAGAAAAACAAAAATACGAAACGGGGACTGGACGAGTCACAAAAACAAGCCTTGCTTTTGCTGGACAGGGAAGATGGTTGCTCTCTGGGTGCGGTTGTGGCGGGAGATGGTTGGTCCAATTCGAGGTGGGCAGGGTCTTTGTTTACGCCCGTTGCCACGGCGATGGAGCCGCCGATCTGCACCACCAGCCCAATGCGCATCACCTCGCATGTTGCTGTTCGACATAGCACCACGTTGGCCGTCGCTACTGGCTGCTCTGGATCGATCTCTGCATGGCCGGTCCATCAAGCACGAAGTTTATTACATATCATAAGCCTTGGTGGCGGTGAGGGCGATCTTTTGGTTGGTATGCGGTCAGCGGCAAGTCCCCCAGCTGTGGTTTCACTTCTCCGCATGCACCTCCTCCATCGCTCCAACGGTGTGCGTCAGCTATTGGGGCATGGAGTGGAATCCATTTGTCCACAATAAACGAGATGCTGTGCTACCCTCGTTATTGAATAAATGTGGAAAATAATACAAGAAGAGAGGGGAAATGGCATCCAGCCGCCCAACCTAACCAGCCCAATCTATAAAATACATGTAATTGTGATCATTACTCCAACCGTTCTTGCTACCGGGTAGCAACATGGGCTGTTTCTAAGCTGTCCAGGCCCAGCCATGGAGAGCATACGTATCCCGCAGGAAAGCGACAGCCTGATTCCAGGCTCGCTCCTTGATCTCGGGCTTGACAATCGCGTCCGGCACTATTCAAAAGCTGATTAGCTCATCTGCAATGAAAATATAATAACATCGGGTCGAGACAGCTTACACTCTAGATACGCATGGTTCTGGTCCTTCTCCAAAAACACCTCCACCCTCCCCGGCTTACCTGCATTCCGATCTTCCTCGTTGATCCTTTCCGCAAATGTCATCTGCTCTTCCAACAGAATGTCTATCTCAGGAACACACAGCAGGATCCGTGGCGGCAGCGTCTCCCTGGCCGCCAACATGGGACTCAGCCTCGGGTCGTCGAAGTGGTTCTTCCTCGCATGCTCCGGATACGCATCGAACAACGGCATCAGCACGGCCACCGGGTCCTTGTCCGGCATCCCCTCTGGCCTGGGCTTCTGCCACGGACTCAACCTTAGCTCGAGCACCCCGCAGAAGAGCACGCAGCCCTTGAACGCCGTGCGCGACGATCCGTGACGAGCGGGCTGTTGCGTAGATGCAAGCGCCATGTTGCCTCCCGCCGAGAACCCTCCCACTGTCAGAAGCTCCGGGTTGGCGCCCCATCGTTCCTCGGCGTGCTCGGTAATGTATTGCATCACGGCGTCCACCTCGTCAATGCCGGCAGGGAAGACATTCTCAGGCGCAAACGGGTACGTCAGACCAAGGACCACGGCGCCCGTCTCTCTGGCCACACGCTCGTCGATTGGCGCCGTGCTTTCTGACTGGCCGCCGATGAAGGCACCGCCGTGGATGTCGATATGGATGGGGCGTAGTTGACGGCTTGTGCCGGTAGCTGTGCCGCCTGTGTGCTTGTAGACGAGGACCCGCGCCGTCTTGCCGGGCGCAAACGGAAGCCATTCGACCGTGAAGGGCCGTGAGAACAGGTATGGCACTGAGCTAACCGCGTAAGTGATGAGTGAAAGGGGCTGCAGGAGGAGGAGGCGCCATCGCAAGTCCCAGGCGATGTTTGGCTTGAACAAAGCGACCAGACTGGGACGCAGCCAGTGATGCAGCGTGTAAAGGATTCTCGAGACCATGATGTATCACTCCAAAAACGAAACCCAATGAGATGAAAGGGGTGATTGATTATCCATGAGTGAGTTCATAGTTGTTTTGAGAGAGTGATGTCTATTTAAGCACAGAAAGCTCATGGCTTGATGTCAATGGCTCGCACCATCATTTCATCTTAGTTAGGTTGGCGTCGCACCCGTCGTATTGGTACGTGCCTTAGCGATTCTAGGCAAGCAGCTTAGGCACATAAGCGAAGTCAGAGTTTCATTGAAAGGCTGGGTGAGCAGCTGACACTGACACACTGACTCATCTATGCCTGGCGAACCAATGCTGAATTGAAGGCGACAGCCAGCATTTGATTCCGGAGAGTGAGCTGTGCCTGTGTCTCGTCCATCGCCAGCCGATTCGGGTGCATAGGCTCATACAAGCTCGGTGACTGTGCAAGTTTATCAGATGATGAGCATTGGAGGCACTTCCGACTTGAGGGGTCGCTTTTATCTGAAAACGAACCGACCAACCTTACCTTAGGTGAAAGATCTTTTTCGTCCTTCTATCTAAATTCTCACCTACTGGCTTCTGGTTCTAAATAAACGAGCCGAGAGAAGTACATCTCAGCTTACGATATAACACGCTGTGGTTTCTCCAGCGGTTGAATTGCAATAATTGTGCAAAAGCTACTCCGCTTTTCTCCCATCATCACAGCGCGGACTACAGAATGGAAGGGTCGTGGGTTATAGAACATGAAACGGCGGCTCAAGCTATTTCCCTTGTCGGCACATTCTTATCTATATCAGAAACAAGCTTCCAAGATGTCTCCCAGTTCATCGATTACGTTTCAACCTTGATCAGGGGCAAAGGGGCGGACGTGTCAACAACAAGAAGTTCAGATGAACTAGAAGCATCTATAGAGCTTCTCAAATACGCACTGAACGCTCTGCCTCAGACCTACACGAACAAGGACATGATGTTCGAGTCCCTTGCACAGCTCTACCTCAAATTGTATCGCAAGAAAGAAATAATAAACGACATTGAAGAGTGCGCGATCTTTGCTAGGCGAGCTCTCGATTCAACGGCCAAGGATAGCTCGGCCTTTGTAGATCGACTGTCATTTCTGGGAACGGTTCTATCCGAGGCCGCTATACGAGGCAGGGATGCCACTTATGAGGATGCAATCATAGCTAACCAAGATTGGTTGGCCTTGCAAACAGAGGAAGAACCAGACCGACACGCGACTGGATTGGATATTGAATATCATGATTTTCAAACCAGCAAATTTAAGTTATCGCAGCTTAAATTAGGAATTTCTGTCGCTCGCAGGGCATCAATGTGTCGCTCTGTAATCGACCAGGAGAGAGAAGGAAAGTTGAGCAAACATTTACGCTGGTTGGAACTTCTACATCGTCGGAAATGCCACCAGGAGGTCATGATGCCTGGACTTGACGCCGCTATCTGCACCATGCGGAAAAGCTTAAGACTAAATTACGAGAGTGTGTACGATTATGTTTACGGACTGGAACTTCAAGCTGAGCTATTGGTGAAGCATTTCCTTCAGACAAGGACAACATCTATTCTCGAGGAAGCAATCGATACATTGCGAAAAATCTATCGAATTCCTTCACGAGACTACCATAAAGAAGGAGTTGGAAGAACTCTCCTCGTCTCATGCTTCTGTCTTCTTGCTCAACAACAGTCGTCGCGAGATTGGGGTGGCAATATGGAAGATTATTATGACGAGGCCACATCTCTGGCGAGGAACGCATTCAGATCACTTCCACCAACTTGGTTGAGACAGGACGAATATTTGAACTATCAAGCAAGTCACTTTGAGGAGCGATACTGGGTCTCCCATGACGTGAGAGACCTTGATAGAGCGATAGATTTGGGGAAAAAAGCATTAGATCTCACCCCTAAAGGTCACCCTTTACGCTTATTTCGCTTGGAGTGGCTCGAAGACTTCCTTGACCAGAAAGTTGCCATATCTGAAGCCAGTGCTGACATCCATAAAATGATTCAAGTTTCTCGACTGATTCTTGATGAGGCACCACAAGATGATCAGGAAACATTATCCTTCCGATATCTCAGCCTTGGACAAAAGCTGGAGTAGGAATATAATAAAAAAGGAACGATAAACAGCTTAAGAGAAGCTATTCAGCTTTCCACAAACGCTCTACGGCTCACAACGAATAATCTCGATAAATCAGACCACTTTCAATCTCTTGGAACCTGGTATGCAACAATACAACAAAAGACTCAAGATGAGGCAGACCTCAAATCTTCTATATTCTTCTTTCAACGCAGTTTAGAAGTCTTATCATCGGAACTAGACAGTATGCCACTGATTACGTCGCCCAAACATGAGGGAGGGATAAAGAACGGCGTTCAAATTGATCGCCTTCGACAAATCATGCCTCTGATTACGCGTTATTGCGTTAGCCACATGTGGAGAGAAGCATATGCAATACTACACGATGGCATTCATTTCATTTCCAAGTTGTCTTTGAGATCATTGACGGTCTCTAACAGACGAGTAGCGATATCGGCTACCGCCGGCATAGCTTCTTTTGCAGCTGGGCTAGCCTTAATAGTAGGAAAGGGGCCCTTGGTTGCACTGGAATTAGTTGAGAAGAGCCGCAATGTGTGTGTTTGCAAGTAGCCTCGAGGACCTGAGGGTGGAGGTCTCTGGGGAATTGCAACAACTACATCCCGGGCTCGCAGCAAAATTCATGAGTCTTCGGTATCAGGTCAGCAGACCAGGCATAACACTTGGGCGATTCGAATCTGGCGGAGGAAGAGCCAAGGCAGCTTTGCAACTTGACCATGTGATTGAGGAAATTTCACGGAAGCCAGGATTCGAGAATTTTCTGATGTCTCCCAATGAAGAGGAGACTCGAGAAATTTCGAGTTCCGGACCTGTTGTCGTCATTACTACCTGTCCGATGCGATGCGATGCAATCATTATTCAGCCGCATCAGGTGCGAGGCTTAAGACTCTCACATTTAAGCCACGAAGATATACTTGACAACTTACAGCGCGGAAACATCAATAACTTGAAGGTGCTCGAATGGCTCTGGGATGTGCTTACCAGTCCCATTCTCGACGCGTTGGGATTTACCCAGTCACCTAGTAACGGTGAAGCCTGGCCTCGTATCTGGTGGATTCCCATCGGCCCGCTCTCTAAGTTCCCTATTCATGCGGCTGGCTATCATAGGCATCGAACAAAAAACACAGTGATGGATAGGGTGGCCTCCTCTTACAGTACGTCGGTGAAGTCTATGATTCAGACGCGTCGGCGAGCTACTCCGGCTCCGAGTAGGCCAGAGCGAGCCGTCTTGGTACCTGTTCCCCAAACAACAGGGCACGCGACACTAAAATTCGTCAAGGAAGAGGCGACGCGGGTCGGGAGCCTTTGCAGAAGCATGGGCTTCGACGTAATCGAACCCCAACCGAGGATGGAGAGCGTGGCGCCACATATGGCTGGCTGCAAGATTTTCCATTTCGCTGGACACGGTAGCGTTAACCCGAGTGACCCGTCACTGAGCCAGCTACTTCTTGAAGACTGGAAGACACAAGAACTTACTGTTGCTATGATCCAAGAAATGAACTTGCGGTCTGGATCGCCATTCTTGGCTTACCTTTCAGCCTGTGGGACTGGCCGCATTCGCCAATCCAGCCACCTTGATGAGAACACTCATCTCATTAGTGCCTTTCGCATCGCTGGGTTCCGGCATGTCATAGGTACGCTTTGGGAAGTCAATGATGAATGTTGTGTTAGAGTGGCAGAGAGAACATACGAGGAAATGCTTAATCAAGGCATTTCTGATGATGCCGTGTGTCTAGGTTTACATACAGCCATAAGAGAAGCTCGCTATGAATGGGAACAAAGAGCGGAAGCAAGCCGTGATAGATTGCGAAAACAAGGGAGGACACATTACTTGAGCGTAGACAGGGATCGTGATATAGAAGAGTGCGATACCAATGATGATCTTCAGGTGCCTGAATGGGTTCCCTATGTTCACTTTGGTGTCTAACTAGCTGGAGTTGGATGCTTGGGGGATAATTGAAGCTTGCTCAATCATCCTGTTAACCATGTCAGAGATTAGCTGACCGAATTTCAACGTCAATTCAGTTCTCTGCTAAGCCAGAATCTTTCCGGTGAAGCCTGGAGCCTCGACGGTGTACGGAATTTCTTGCCGAGCGACACGAGGGCAATTTGATACGATGAAGATCTGTTACTAGGTGTATCCTTCTTGCTAAGCGGCAATTGAAATTTTCGCCTTTTCCAGTAGTTGTAGATCACCAAGGCGTTTCGAGAATACCTCGGATCCAGGTTGGAGTCAGCCGTGTTGCCGTGTAGATCCATGGGATCATGCTCTCCTTCTTACAAACCTTCTTGATTGCCTTTCCTTGTATAATACATAGTATGCCTCTCCCTGGCCTAGGTGCCGTATTTAAATAACCCCCAAATTAACACCAAGGTTAATCGAGAGACTCATTCACTCACACCTTGGATCGCGCCGCGCAGGCAAGACGCATGGAATCAATCAAGTCATTTGGTCTTGAGCAAGGGCAGCGTGAGATTGTTTTAGAGAGTAATTACATAATAATCCCTGGCCTTTTCTTTCTTCGTGCCTTTGTATCGTATCCATTGCCACATGAATGTGTTTTCCTCGTAAGCCTGATCATCATCATTGTCTGTCGCATAAAAAGAAAAATGGAAAACCCTCCCCCAAATCAATCCCCTCAACACTAAGCGAATAGTGCCGCGATGCTCACTCAAGAAGCAAAAAAAAAAAATCAAGTTTGTTCATTCCTCTTTCCCCCAAGTATGGCGATACCCGCGCTTACAGGTCCTCGCAGTAGTCCTGGGTGACGGTGGTCGTGACGGTGCTGGTGGGGGTGGGGGCGGTGGTGACGCCGGCGGTGATGCCCCAGCAGCTGCAGGCAGAGGCGTATCTGGAGCCGTCGCAGGCGGAAGCGTAGGCAGGGACGACGGTAGGGACGTCGGTGACGGCGCGGACGTTGCGGCGGAGCTTGGCGGGAGTGTCGCTGTCGACGGTGACGGTGACAGTTGTGGTACTATAGTTTGCTGGTTAGTCAAAGAATGGAGGGGTGATTGGGTTCCAAGTCATGGGGATAATCAACCCATTCGCTGATACCTAGGGAAAAGAAAGTACGTACACAGCATCGGGGGTAACGGTAGAGGTCTGGAAGCTGGTGCAGTCGGCCTTGCGAGACTCGATGGGGCTGAGACCATCACGAGTGCCACTGTCGATCTTGTTAGTCCACGGCATTGAAGACCGGAGGGTATGGGGTTGACTTGCGTTACTTGACGTGCGCAGTTGTCACCAGCGCAGTTGCGAACCTCGAGCACGCCAGCCATGGCGGCGGCAACGAGGGAGAGGATAACGGCGGCCTTCATCTTGAGAGGTGGGTGTGTGATACAGAGACAGGTAGTCGAGCTTGGGGGCGAGTTGAAGATCTGATCTGGGAAACTTGACCGTAAGGAAGGAGGGACAGGAAATCCAGATGAAGGGTGGCACAATGGCCCTTTATGGACTCTGTCGTGGTTCCCGCTGGTTGGTATCCGATGAGAAGTGGATAGCCAGCGAGCTGGGCGGGCATGTCATGGATGGCATCAGCGTAGCAACCACCAAGAAACCATCTGCCTATCCCCGTGCAAAGACTCTATTATAGCTCCGCTTTGGAGCTTAACAGGCTGGACGGGGCGTGAAAAGGCATGGGGACCCAAGCTGCCGAGCACCGGCTGGTGGAGGGTGTGGGTGGCAGCTACTCACTATATTGCACTGTACATTGGATATTGCTCTCACTTGCATCAATACAGAGAGGCAGGCACTCCCATTAGGCTTCAGGAATATGGAAGAGACCGTTCCTGCGCTACCCCAATGCAGGCGAGGCGGCGAGGGGGTGGGTTCGGCCGAAGCGCCCGTATCCCATCCCACCTATGAGAGGCGCAGGCCGCTGCATGAGGGCGTCAGGGATCCCCGGGTTCAGCAGTCTGTAAAAGTACGTGTGTGTGTGCGCCGGTGACCGAAAGGGTCGGACGGCGAGCGCAGCACTGCTGAGCGTGCTCGTGTATGTAGAGGGACGGATGGGCACTCCGGCACCAGGGCAGGGAGGCAGCCTAGAGCCGGAATGAAAGCGGACAATAAGAATAAGATAGAGTGTTCAACGGTTATCATGGATCTTTTTAGCGCAATTGGGCCTTATTGGAGCGGGAACGAATCTGTAGCCTTTGGAGGACAAAGGCTCGTCCGAGCGGTCCGCTAACACCAAGAAAACGGGTAAACTCGCTGCTAGAAATTGTGGACTGGCGCCAACAAAGACGAGCCTGTTTTCCAGTTCGTCTACATGGCGGACGACGATTCAGCTACAGCAGGGTTGACCCCATCAAGTGGCCACTGGGTTGGGCGTATCGTAAGCATCGGCCACCGTTGGCACACCCCTTGCTCACGGGCCTGTCCTGACCCTGGTCGGATCCTTAGCCTAGAAGCCGACTCGAATTCAGCCTGCGGACCATGTCATGCACGTTGTATTCAATGACCTGCCCGGAGAGGTTGTTTGTCTAGCGAACCTTTGGTTATCACCACGACCCGGAGAGGGTCGGTGGTTCTTCCAGAGAGCGTGTATCCAGACCCCCGTATCCTGCCGGTAAAAGATGGCCTGAACCAAGATTACGTATTCGTTCACATGGTGATTCTTTATCGCGAAGCTTGATGAAGCTTCTTTCTGGGATGCGGCCCCCTCTCCGCCAAGCATGGACTAAGGTGAGACCGGAGGCAATGAGCCTGGGTGAACAGGTGAGGAGAAGGGTCGGGGGAAATCTATGCGAGCAAGAGCCCAGAGCGGCGGTTTTAGCCTGCAATTGGAACCGTGAACTCATTTCCTCCAACCATTGCTCTCGGTTATTCTCGAGCAATGCCTCGCGGATCTCATAACCCTTGGCCGGCATCTCATCTTTCCCGCGGGCCTGGAAATTTGGCGATCCAATGCTTTCTTCCGCATCGCGGGGCAATTCGCCAGCTCGCTTTCAGGTGAGGGATAAGCAGCGGTAACCACAGCACCGCCTCAACAGACATTGAGAGACATCCGGCTTGGACGTCGAAGATAGGCCATGGGCGCCGAGTCAAGGGCCCATGCCCGGGCATCCGATCCGAACTAACTCAACTCCGTTGTACAAAAGTTAGCGACCTCTTGGCAGACCTTGTGGGAATGCCCCGAAAGCTCTCTTTATCCGCCCCCCTGGAGGAGATTGAGTAGTTCCTCGATTGACACTCGTTCCCAGCGCCACATCCGTACAACGGTCGGTTTCCTTAGCTTGAAATGGGGAGCTAGCCGATCAAAAGTGCCGTCATTGCGACGGATCGCAGGCCGGGAAAGGCAACAACTGATTGACTCATTCCGTGGCTGCGGTCAAGACCCGTGAATCCGTCCAAGCAACGCCGCCAACCCCGAGCTGAATACAGGTATGCTGTCCAAACACTGAGGGAAGGGAACGCCAGGAGATGCAATTGCTCCTGGTCGAGTAGCTGTGGAAGCGCAGCCTCTTCACTCCTCAGCTCTTCAGCTCCAAAGCAAAATATCATATAATACTGAATGCACTGCTACCCTGGCCCACCGCATTTTCCCAGCATGCCTGTCCGAATCAGGCAGGCTACAACACGAACATCGGCGTTGCCAATGGGTGAGTTGTAGGGCACGTGGTCTGCTAACCAGCAATTGCTGATGCTTTGCCTCTGCCCTCTGGATCTGTCGAGTCTGGCTCCCATGCTGCTGGGCGCGGCGCAATCAGGAAGCTATGTAGGAACCTTTTCTCCCCCAGTCCCTGATACGAAAATCTTCCATCTCTGGGCTAAATCGCTCCGGGAAGGACCTTACGATCGCGTCCTCCTCACCGGGCCTTGGCCTATTAGACCTTCTGTTTCTGGCCGTTGGTTATCCAGCCCCCGCCACCGGAGAGCGCTGGCGACAGGAACCGATGCCAGTCTCGCTCTCGCTACGAATTAGACTCACATCCATTCCGTCGGACATGCCCTCTGTAAGCAAGCTGATAAGCTACTATGTAGAGAAAGATGGCCATTGCCAGGGACCAGGCCTGAGCGAGAGCTTGGATGGGTTATGCTCATAGTATGATGATAATACCTCCTGTTCTTTCATGGTAAGGCTTCCTCAGATCAACTCATCCCACCTGGTTGGCAGACTGAAGTAGACGAATTGGCAATTCCAACTTCCCCATCATCTTCATGCCCTTGTGCTGCCCGCTGTTCCATGTCCTTGACCGATGGGAAGTGATTGTAGACATGTACCCCATCGCTGAGACGGATGATCTTTCTCCCAGAACAGGCTCAGCCCCTCCCGTGATGTGATGCTTTTACCCCACGCCAACCTCATTCGCGGGCCAACTTGATTGCTCTCTCTTTACCCGGCTAAATCTGCCAACATTGAGGCCGCCATCGCGCTGCTCATCCGCTGTCGTCGAAGGCCTTGGTCGTCGCCCCCAGACAGCGCTCCTGAGCTGCCAATTGTGACATGAGTGCGTGCCCAATCGCATGGTCGAAACCGAGGATCGCAAAGTCTGGAATCGCTGCAACGCAAATGGTAGCACCCAGGCTCGGACCAGCGTCTCACCTTGTTCGGCATCGCCCGGATCGTCAGAGATTAAGGTAGAGCTCCTTCGCAGAGTGCTACTGCAACTCCACATCCTATTTGGCTTTGATCAGCGGCCCACGAGAGCCTGTGCCCATCTGGCCAGAGTGCAATCGTGCAACCAGGCCAGGGACGAGGTTATGCCTGGGCCAAATGAATCCGACTTGGATAGGAACTGTGTATGCGGACCAATGACGCCGAGTCGCATATCTAGGCTTAGAGGCGCATATTAATTTGCGCAGCATGTGATGTACATTATCCGGCGCGGCCTTTTCCTCAGTACTTTCTGTGCACGGCATTGATGGGCGGGTTGTGCTGGTGATGGAGAAGGTCGCTCTCCGTAGGTTTACGAATGTCCTACGCTGGGACATCAAGATACGTGTTGCGGGATCTATACACTGCAAATTAATATTACATCAATGAATGATAATGCAAGTAGTAGGCTGTTGCGATGCTCGGAGTGTTCAACAGACGCTGCCAAACATGTGCGGCCAGCAGGGCGAGAAGGAATTATCACACGAGCAACAATGTAGAGAGCATTATTTAACCTGTCCCTCATCCCTCCTTTTCACCATCCTCCCATGGTTGATATCCCAATGATTGCTCCCTCAATCTCCCCCGGACAGCCATCAACGCCTGCCCCAGCAGATTCTCACCCCAGTGATCTCTGAAGCCCATCGCATGCTTCGCGGTATATCCAATCCCCCATACCCGATCCCTCCCAGCCGCCTCACACAGCATCCTGTCCCCCGTACTCAGCAGCTTCCCACGAAGGTGCCTGTTCTGCCCAAACTTGGCCATATTTCCTTCCTCGACCACCTGCCTCTTCACCTGGTTCCAGGTCTCATCTGTGAACCCCAGGGTGCCCTTCCCCAGGGCCTTCTGCTCCTTGGGACTGTCGCTCGCAAGTACTCGACTCTGCCGCTCGACATCTCCAAATCGCGCCGACTTGCAGTACATCATGAACTGCTCGGCGCAATTGAACCAGATGAGCTCTTCAGAATCGGGATCAGAGGCGGTGCCGTCGGTATTTGAGAGGTGGCCCACCAGCTGGGCGACTCGCGTCTTTGAGACGGAGAATTTGGCTTTGTACCACTGGCAGAATTCGCCATACTTTTCGTTCGGCATGTAGAAGAAGAGGGGTAGATCTTCCTCTGTGGGTGCGGAAGGTCGCTCGTCATCTCGTCCTTCGTTGTGGGTAGCTGCATTCGCCGGGTCGGTAGCCTTGCGGCCGGCTCCCTTCTTCGTTTTCGATACCATGATTGATTGATGGAGCAGGTCTCCAGCACGAGCTATGCTGGATCCGCGAACCTGCGAGACCGCTCCTGGTACTTACTGGGTTGCCGAAAAGCTCTGAGCTTGGTGTTGCTTGGATTGATGTGACGGTAGATGAGTGTACGAAGGAAACTGTGTTTGTGATGCAGGGCTCTAGCTATGTAGATGGAAGAGGGTAGGATAAATAGAGATCTAACGAGCGACTCGGCCCGAGGGCTAGGGAGTCATCGGTATGAAGGTTCACAAAGTTTTCCTTCTGTGGTGTCTTGTCGGTTAGAGTTTCGGGTGTGTACAATGAGTTCTTTTTCGTTGGATGGGTCAAAGCCAATCTGCCTGGTGGTCCTGGCTAGCGAACAAAGCGACTTGCTTCCTACCTAACGAAGCGCGATGGCGCCGATAAAAAGAAAAGGTGGCCGGCTGATGGGAGAGCCGTATGTTTGAGTAACGGGTGAGTGTGATCTCCATCCAAATGACTGCATCATTATGGCTCACCTCCCTCCACCGGACTAGCATTATGATTAATCCACGCTTCCTCTTCACGATACATGCCTTCAAACCCCCTTAAAAAGCCACGAAAAGAAAGCCAGGCACATGACAGCAGAACGGGAGAGGACACCTTTGCCTTGAACTCAAAATGGTCTATAACAACATGGTATAAAACAGTAACTCAATGGTATTTATGCTTAGTGTATGATAAAACCCAAAACAAAGAGAACCAAATGATGTAGACTGCTGAATACCCAGCAGCACGTTTAGATATATCCCAATCATCTCATCCTGAAACGCCTTGCTGTGCTCATCATCTGGCACATCATTGTGATTGTGTCCCTTGTAAGCGCCCCCAAATAGAAAATCCATTAAGAACTCCTCGCAATCTGCGCAAATGGTTGATATCGTTTCTCCATCCTAGAGAAAGACCGTAAAGTATGATACTCAATGACATACTCGAAAGGAAAGGAGCAGTAGGGGGATGCCATTCTCCCCAAGCCGTAACAAGATCAGAAAAGAAAACCCAAAAGAGCCTAAAAACCTTGCTTTATTTTTCCGTTCATCGATGGGGAGGAGGATGGTAATCATCCCCCTGCGCCCACGACGGTTTCCTCTGCTGAGGTCCCAGCGTGTTATTCGGCGACCCAGACATTGACGACTCTTCATTAATATTGTCCAGACCGCCCGTCTCGATGCCCTTCGCCGTACCGCCGGTCGCGCTCCTCATACGCTGATGGTGGTGGTGACTCTGAGACCTCGAGACAATGCTGGAGATGCTGCTGACCACCGACGACCGCCGCTGGTCATCGCCGGCGAAGGTAGACGACCCAGGCGACCCGGGAAGCTCAGGCACAATCGCCCTCGAGTCCAGCTCGGTGGCGAACCCCGGGCTGAACGGCTGCGGAACCCCCTGCTGCTGCTGCTGCTGCTGCTGCCCATTCCCGCCGTCCGACCCGTCCGAGGCGTCGCTGAAGCTCCGCACGTGGGTGTACCCGCCGTACGAGTCGTTGCTGGGCCGGTCGGGCGCGATGCTGTACCCGGTCGACTGCTGGCTCGTCCGCCTGGGGACCTGGGGCGCGTGCGGGTTCATGTCGAAGTAGCCCCCGCCGGCGCCGATGTCGGGCGTGCTGGCCGACACGCTGGGGACGGTGCTGACGGGCTGGTAGTGGCCCGCGAAGCTCGTGGGCGTCTGGCCCGTCGAGCTGGCGATGTCCGAGGCGGCCTTGGTGGTCGGGGGCATCATGAGGGAGTCGACCTCGAACTGGGCCTTCTTGCGCATCTGGGGCTGGGAGCCGCCCGACTTGGAGCTCGCGACGGCGGCGACGACCTTGTTGAGGTGGCGGATGACAACGAAGGCGATGACGATGACGAGGACGAGGAATGCCACGGCGCCCGTGATGATGCCGGCCAGCTGGGCCTTGGTGAGGCCGCCGGTGCCGCTGTTGTCTGAGGAGCTGGCCTCGGCTGAGGGCGTGGCTTTGGCGAGGGCGGAGGGGAAGTACTTCATTACCCCGTCTGCATCGCCGCCGCCGTTGCCGAGCCTGGTAGGGGCCACTGGTGTGCTGACCGAGAGGCTGCGTGTCGTGTAGGTGCTGGTTCTGCCGCTCTGCGTGGTGGTGATGACCATCTCGGAGGTCTTGGTCACTGGTACCGTCGAGTAGCATTGGTTGACGGCGCATCCCATGCCGCTGGGGCAGCAGCCGTAGCTGAGTGATGAAGGGCAGAGGTATTGGCTGGCAGGGCAGCCGAGAGTATATGGAGATCCGGATGGCGGGACACAGTTCCCGGCAGTCTGGCAGAGGTAGCCATCGGGACAGCATCCACCTGTGAGAAGAAGGAGAGATGTCAGTAGGGATTCACCTTGGACAAGCGCAATGGGATCGCTCACCTCCGAATTTCGCCTCGCAGGCCCTCCACCCCACGAGCGTCCCGCACGTCGAAGGACCCCTCGTCGTAGCATAGCAGCTCTCCCTTGCGCAGTCGTAGTCATCGGGGCAGCATCCCCCGTCGAGACTGGCCGGGCACAGCTTGGACGACGTCCCGCAGACACCGGCGGTCATCCCATCTCGTTGTTCTAGGATCGCGCGAGCCGTGATCTGGGCCTTCTCGATTCTGTGGACGCCATCGTATCGCTTCACGTCAACGGCGGCGACCTCGCCCACTGCTGTGAGGCCGAGCAGGAGCCCCAGCGAGAGGGACCCTCGAACCATGGTTGCGATCCGAGCCAGACTCGGTGGTATGGTATCGACGTTCGCTTCTTCTATTGATCGTATCGTATCGTACACGGTCAGGACCTGAGCCTAGATATGAGTCGGCTTGCTAGTAAACGGGTCCGTCTGTCGTCTCGGCGCCGAGCTAAGAGGCAAAGCCGGGTGGCGCAGGCGGATGGGCGGTAAGTGGGAGAAGCTTAAACTCGGGCGAGCGACGACTCGGGGCAAGCTTCGTATTTGGGCGTTTCGGGGCAGCGTACGAGAAGTTGGATCAAGTTTTTCGCAGGTGGCACGAAGCAGCGGCGGATTTGGATCAGAGTGGGAGGGCACGCTGGCGGAGAAATAAGCCAAGTTGGGGGCGAGCAGACCAGGACGATTTGAGAAAAGGCTCTTGGGCCGTCAGCATCCAGAAAGGCTTGGCTCGAGAGAGAGTCCCTTGCCAGTGAGACCGCCCATGCATGTGGCTCCGGCGGCGATCAGCTAGTGGGTGAATGGATGGTGTGCGATTGCCTCTGCTCAGCTCTTGCGGGGCGCAGCAGCAGATGCAAAATGCTTGCTGAGAGCTGACGATGGCGGTGGGGTCGGCAGACAGACCAGACCAGGGATTGGGAATAGGCAGAGAGAGTCAGACAGAGCAGACTGGAGTCAGAGAGAGGGAGGGGCCTATGTACGGACAGACAGCCCACCACATTGGCTGGCAGTGAGACCGGCGTGGATATATGTACCTGGATCCAGCTGGGTAGGGCTGGACGATGCTGTTGATGATGGCCTGCGCCTGGCTGTGAACCGGCTCTCGTCTCGTCGCGGTGCGTGTATTCCCGGATGCATCGTGGCTGGTGATATTGGCTTGCTTACATGTACTTGGACCATGTCATGTCCCGCAATCCGACGCTGGCGATGGAAGACGAGCCGAGAGAGACACCAGAACGTGCCCATTCTGCCTGCCTGCCGTGTCCACGTAGTCGAGCGAGGTAACGATACCATACTGTAACATAAACCTCTGTCTGGGTCGAGACCTTCGAGGGGGCCATGCACATCGACTGGGGTGGGGGCCGAAAAGTTTGGAAAACGCCATCTTTCCAGCAGCGACAAATACCATGCGGCACCATCGATCACCATTCGACCCCGGGCCAAGCCAGCCAAGCCTGCGCTGGTGGTGGCCGGGGCAGGGGGACGAGGGACGAGGGAGGGGACTGTTCATGTGCGTCGTCCAACAGCAGCACAGACTTGAGGGTCTAACGAGAGAATGTGGAAGGACGGCCGCCGCATTGGAAGACACTGGGCCAATGAACTGCCCCGTTGGGCTGCATCCCGGGAAGAGGAGAGGGCAAAGGGACTTGGGTGTGCGTGTGTGTCTGTGCTGAGAGCAATGCGCTTTCTCGGCCAGCCAACCACCACCCCTGCTGCTACACCACCAGCCAACAGAGTCGACTGCAAGTCTCACCCAGTGCGCGATCTAGCGATAGGGCGGGGACCTCTTTAGGCTCTTGTCTTGTGCCCCTCGTCCTGGGCTGCTGAGGGCCAAGGGGCAAGCAAAAGTTGGAGCCGCATTTGGCACCCTCTCAGCCAGAGAATCGGTGTGCGGCTTCACATTCCACTAAGCTGCGACCTAGGGCCTAGTCTCGCCTCCACTCGGGGACATTGTTGGTGGCAGATGGAAGTCTAGCTGCCGGAATGGCGTTGTTTTGGACCAACAGGTGGGTATTGGGCGGGAGCTGACGGGAAGAAAGGTGACATTTGGGGGCCAAGTCTACGAAGCAATGGCACTGTCCGAGCAAGCAGCTGCCGTTCCCTCGTATGTATGTACGCACAGCATGTGTGTATGTTTGTGTGTATGTTTGCACATGCGTATGTCGACGTTGGAGGGAGGCTCCTGGTTGGGCAGGCCAGAGGGACAAAGGTGGACAGCCAGTGACACGGCCAATGGCATTGCCCACCAGGAAAGGTGACGGTACCGAATGGATACAGTGCTATGCGATGTGATGAGATGGGATGGGATGGAACCTCTGCTCCGAGCCTGGCAGTTGTCATCCATCCCATGCTGCCAAATCACCGTCCTCGAGCCTGACTGACCTCGCATAAGCGCCAAGGGTCAGATGGGGCCAGCTCCGTCCCCCCTGCCCTGCTGCCCTACGGGTGGTGCGTACGTACAGCCTACGTAACGTCCGGAGGTGCATATATAGAGTAGCAGACGTGATCCGTATGGTTCGTATGGAGGGCGCCCCACGGGAAGCTCTCGCGACCGGAGAAAGAATGCCCTCCCCTCCTGACCAAAGAAGAATAGTTTACTGGGTCGGTAGGTACAGTGTGTTGCATTTCAGCCCGCCGATTGCATGAGCAAGCAGTCCGATGTAGCCTCGTCCCAAAGTACTTGCATGAAAGGCTTGTCCATGAGGTTCAAATGGCAACGTATGAGGGGAGCAGCGCGCGCGAGGACAGAGAAGACAGATATTTGCGCAGTCGCAACGGCGGGAAGGTCCCCATGCCAAGCTGCTCGCATCATGCCATCCATGGATGTTTACGAAGTTTGCGACAGCCTCTGTGATGCCGAGGGGGCACCGACCAGTTCTGCTGTAGGGATGCTCTGTCTGCCACCAGACCTTGCCTCCCCTGTGGTGTGTCTATTGATCCTACTTCACCGAGAGTCTGGCACGGCCCTGGCTCATGTTCCCCTTCTCGGTCAGCTCCCACGTGCTGGAGGCAAAGCCAGTTGAAATGGAGCAATCTGTCGTTTCGCATCGCCCAAAGGGGAATTTGGTCATCTTGGTGTGCCACCGGGCAACGAGACCTGGACTGTGCACAAGAAGGCTGGAGAGCCGGCGAAGCCAGTAGGTATCCTATTTTTTTCCACCCTCATGCGATTCACCCATTCACTGATCGATCTGTGTGCTGCAGGCCATGTCCTTGCATGCCCTGCCCCCCGTGATAGCTCGATGGGGCTACCTAGCCACTTAGCAGCGCCTGTTATACATATGCCGTCACTCGTTATGCTGCGTTATCATGTCGTTGCGATGCATGTGCTCCCAGAAATAGCTGTCCTTCGAATCCATTCCTTCCATCTGATATGGAAATCGTCATTGACCGGCAAAGTCGAGGTGGTTTGCCCATCAGTCACCCGCCGCTAGCTGGGACGGATTCCCCTCACCCAAACCATTGCGCTATTTTTAACCTGATACAAACACCATCGAGATGCTAAGAGTCGCATTGCCGTCGTGGAGGGGGGGATGGACTCTCTGGTGATTGGTGGGTGAAGGCTTCTACCCGCCCGTGGAAACCTGCCTCTCCCCCCTCCAGGCTTCTTCCCGAGCCCATACTCTCTCGATTCTAGGTACTTTTGCCTAATTACTGGCTAGTACGTACATAGTTGGCTCGAAACTCCGCTACGAAATATGCAGATCATTCGTGCCGTGAGATGTTAGTGTAGCATCCGAAGGCATGGAAATAGAATAATCGCTGGACTAAGCCTTCACCAGAGAGATGACAGGCTTCGCCCTGGCCTTGACGTGGGCCCCAAACATCAGTCGTCCATCTGCTGCCACCGGAGCCTGGCAAGCTCGGCCGGTCCCGGTGGACTGTAGGGCTGCCGATGCTATTTCTATTTTAATCTTCAACTACACCCTCGTAGACTGACTGACAGCCTGTTGACCAATCTCGATGTGTATCTGTGATCAGGCAGATCGAGAGTGACCCTCGCTTACCTATGCCCTGTGCTTCGTCCAGTGCGATATGCCGCTGCGAATGGACGCACTGGACATCTAGCTCAGCCGGCTAGAAGCATCGTTCAGCTCGTTGAGCTAACTACGTTGACCACCCAACTTGGTTGGCTAGCTGATTGGGGAACGTGTTCCTGGACACCCCGACCAATGACTTCATATGTTGGCTTGGGCGATCTTCCGCAGGCCGCGCTCATGGAAACAATGGAAGCCACGAGGGCAGAGGCCTCGGACCAACCATCCTTGACCCAAGATGGACAGATCTTCAGGAGCGTCGAAGACGGGCGTACAGACAGGTGGTATCTCAATTCAAGCTCTACTTGAGATGGGTTACCCGATGATTCATGTCTAGATTTTGACATTGGCAGACTAAAGGGTGAAGCAAGTGGCACTACGCAGAATAATGTCCTTAGTAGGTCATACCACCGTACCCGCCAGTACTGTAATTGATCTTCTGGCCCTCGTGACGAACCATCCAAAGTGCAGGTTCAGCCTCAGTGAAGGGCTGAATCTCATACGCCGTGGGAGAAGTAGCGGTCAAGGTCTTGCCCACCGACCGGTGGGCAAGTCCGTATCTCCATCACTGCGATCTATTTATTATTGGTAGAAAAGATTGATTATCGCATCGAATGTCGGTCTGGTATGTCTCAGGACGCGCAGCCGCAGACTCGAACCGGTGTCATGAGCATGAGACACCAGTTCAAGGGCTTCCAAAGTGCCGTCATACGGCGACAGAAGTGGACGCAATGATCTCATGAAGTGAGTTTAGGGAACTTTGCTTATGCGTTTGCCTGCCTACGACAAAATGGCTCAGTAATAGTGCATCGGCGTCTCAGACCTCCCATCACACTAGAAGCTCACTCAATAGTTGCGCCACTATATTTCTTTTTTCTTTGTTTTTCTTTCCTTTTTTTCCTTTCAGATGCTTGGAAATAAGAACTTGTCACTTTATTTTTGTCATCTGATTACCTTACTTTGGGAAGCTATCACTTTTCTAGCAGGAAATGACAGAATTTGTGTGAGTGGTAAGTAACCGCGCAGCTACCAAAACAAGCTGGACCATTTGGCAGAAGCGCTGTTCATCTGGTGACGAGGTTACATTCAATTGCTCTGGTTTTAGCCACGAGAAGCTCACTCTGAATCTAGGCCGCGACAAGAAAAGAGGATGTTTAGTACTTTTCTGCCTGTTTGCCAGACGACGGCGTCCATGGTGAATGAACGAGTGCTCGAACGGCAGCCCAAACGGCAGTGACTCGGCGCTGGTCGCAAACTCTCATGTTCCTGTCATTTGGACTATTGAAAGACGTGCTGCAAGGAGTGCCTCATTTCTAGTGGCTAGAGCATGCGCCACAGCGTTGGCTGCCTAACTGGCTGCATGCATGGACTGCTGACATGTCATGGTGAGTTTCATCTCTCATCACGAACAGCACATGATCAACACCTGGCTATAAATTTGCTTCTCCGAGCCCGACGGCCCAAGACTATCCATCGAAAATCCCCAGGCAATTGAAGGCGACAGCAGCAGGCACCATGTACTTCCAGACGCTTCCTCAAGAGGTGGTGGCCAAGATCCTCGACATCGTGCGCCTCACGGAGCCTCGCTGGACTGAATTCCTGAAGCAGCGCCTTGTCTGTCGTGGGTTTCACACTCCTCCTCTCTTTCAAGGGCATATCCTGACCTGAAATAGGACGCTTTGATGATCAGATCTCGCGTTTCATTCTGAAATATTCCAAGCCACTGGCCTTGGACATTGGCCGCAGACACAACTGGCGGCCAGGCATCGAATGGATGCTCACCACCAAGGCCAGAGTGCATCTCAGAGACATCACGGGGCCCTTCGCGTTCATCCACGATGCCGCGGCCTATCTGGTGGAGAAGAACTTGATCCCCGACCTCAAGCCCGACGATGCCGTTGTCGCTGCCTGTCGCGCCGTTGTCGCTGCTCACGATCCCAGCTGGGTCATCAACCACCTGGTTACCTGGGAGCCCGGCGATTTCCTGCCAGCGAGTCTCTTGCTTCTGGGAACCTACATTCGCAGACCACCGAATATGGTAGTGGGGTTCAACTGTGACGTTCTGTTCGGCACGCTCCAGCTGCTGCTCGCCCATGGGAATGCCTTGGCTATCGAGCACTTCATCAGGAGCAGTGGCCTGAGCAAGGAGGATCTGCGGTTTGTCCACCCTGCTTTCGGGGCGGTCCTCTCTGCTGCTATTATATTCGCACGAGACATTGCAATCTTCACGCTCCTAGAGTATGGGACTGACACGACCGTCGTGACGGCTGATGGCAAGATGAAGAATGCCCTGTTGTATGCCTGCGAGATGAACCGAAAAACGGCAGCCTACATGCTCCTGGAAGTCCCGTGTGACGTGCAGGTCAACTTCCAAGATGAGCTCGGGCACTCTGCCTTGAACTGGGCTGCTCGGAGAGGATGGGCAGAAGTTACTGAAGCGCTTCTGGCCAGGGACGACATCGACCTGACTCTCGCAACGAGGTGGGGAGAAACCCCGATGGGCGCAGCAGCGAGGCGGGACCACGAGGAGATCGCGCGGCTCATCCTGGACAAGACAGGCGGCAAGCCTCCGATGGCATCAAATTCGCGGTACTCACCCATGTGGCTTGCTTTTGAACGTGGCTCAACCAACGTCGTGCGCCTGTTCCTGGAGAGACTTGGGACCGACTTCAAGGTCAACAAAGTCATGCGCAAAGGATTTACACCTCTCACCTTGGCAGCGAGCAAAGGCTATACGTCCATCGTTCGTATGCTCCTCGCCCTTCCCAACGTCAACCTCGAAAAGCCGATGGTCAAACAAACCCTCACGCCCCTTCTGCTCGCTTGTGCCAACGGCCATGCAGTGATCGCCCGCCTGCTGCTCGACCGTGGGGCAGATATCACTCGCAAGGGTTTTGGCAGACTGCCCTTCCAGATAGCGATGGACAACGGACACACCGACGTGTTCGAGCTCCTGATTGACGATACAGTTGGATCAAACGACGAAGCCCGGACGGCTCTGCTCTGGCTTGCTGTGGAAACGCGGAATGAGATAGGGATTGTGAAGAAGCTCCTTGCTTCTGCTCAATTTCGCGCAAATCGCCGTGATCAATTAGGCAGGCTCTTGGTTCACTCGGTAGTATATGGCATCGTCGAGGTCGTACGGGAGTTGCTGTCTCATGACGACGTTGATCCCAACTTCACCAGAGGTTTTCCGTCGGACAAGACACCGTTACTCAGGGCAATATACTGCCCAGCCCCAACAGAAATCATCCCGATTATCCTGGCTCGAAGACAAGTGGACGTCAACAAAGTGACAAGTGGAGGAACAGCCTTGGCATCGGCAGCTGCTCGGGAGGCATTGTCTGCCATTGCCGTTTTGTTGAAGCATCCAGGCATCGATGTGAACTTCTGCCCGACGCAATCAGTGGGCGCCAACAAATACTTCCGTTTGAACCAGCCTCGCTGCTTCTCCCCTTCGAGGAAACCACCTTTCAGACTTTTCTCGAAAGACAACATCTCCCGGATGGAGCCGCCCCTCCTGGTTGCAGCCTCGGAGCGCAATATTGAATCAGTCAGACTGCTCTGCGAGGATCCTAGGGTTAACCTGGGCATCAGGGACAGTTTTGGCAGAACTGCACTCTGGTGGGCGGTTCGACATGCTAACCGTAGAATGGTCGTTCTCATTCTGAAATCCCCACGGATGACGGAGGAAGTCATCAATGCTCAGGATGAACAGGGCTGGACCGCGTTGCATGTCGCCGCGAACTTTGGCCTTCATAAAATTGTCTATAAGCTGCTTGAGCGATCGGACATTGATCCCAATCTGCGTATTTCAGACGGCTGGACAGCCTTGCATATGAGCGCGGGAAACTGCAACAAGAAAGTTACGCGACTGTTACTCGGCCACCCAAAGATTGATACAAGCATCAAGTTGGATGATGATCGGACGCCGTTTGGTCTTCATCAGGGATGTGAATGTGGTCTTCAATCGCTGGACCCAGAAGGGCTGGGGGAACATGGTTTGGAACAAGAATTATCAAATAGCGAGGGCGAAGCTGTGAGTAACAGGAGGGATGCCATGGACATATCAGAATGAAGAGCAGTCATGAGCAGGGCACTTTTCATAATAATGTAGCGAAATGGAATAAATATATTGTCTCTCGAACCTTTAACATTGGCTCGCAATGATATGACAATACCATGCAGGCCCGAAAGTAAGCCAGGTAATTTAACCATTTCAATTTTAATGTCACCCTGTTGGCGTCGTGGATTTTCGGATCAAGAGTTCAACCTGCGTCTTTCCTTCTTTCTTCCAACGTACCTGGTAAGATTTTCCTCGGCACAAGCATCGACCCTCTTGATCATCTTGCCTGATATCATGCTCCAAGCCCAGGGCCCCTGATGTTGCATGTGAACCCTCAAGAAGAAGCCTCTCGCGACAGGATGTCCGCCAGCTTGAGACCAATCATATACGTAGGCATAGTAGGCCATGCGCCAGGCGCGCGAGGGAAAACGGACGCATCAGCCACACGCAGTCCTTTGACGCCCTGAACACGGAACTGGGAGTCGATACAGGCGTCGCGGTCCCCCTTGGGCCCCATGCGGCAGGTACCGGTAGCATGGTGACCAAACGCCTCGTCCTTGAGCGACTGGCGAAGATCCTCGCCGGGTCCGGGGCTCACTATCGTGATGGGCTCCCAGGACGCGCTCGTCTGGCTGAAGAGGTTCAAGGCCAGCTCGCCAGCCTCCGTGAGGGCCTGGAGGTCTCGCTCGCCGGCGTCGCCGAAGAAGAAGTTGAAGTCAATCACCGGCGTGTCGCGCGGGTTCCGGGAACGCAGCGTGACACTCCCCTTTGCATCGCTGCCGGGGCCGGGCATCTGCGCCAGGGCCCAGGAAAAGGAAGCAGGAGAGGCTGCCGGTCGAGAGAAGCCAGGATAGAAGCCCCTGACTGCGGCTCCCGGGGCACCATAGAGCCACAGGTCCGGATGCTCGTTGTCGCTCACGCTAGAGCGATATACCAGTGACAGAGGGGCTGCAGCTTCGCCGTATGGCCCAGTGCCACTCAATAGCCACTCCTGGTAGCATGGGTCACTGTCCACGAATCCGAATGTGCAGTTCTCAGAGTAGTTAGCCCAGTCGATAGCCGCATCGCCGATGACGGTAGCTTCGTAGTTATCCTGCAAGAAGGCCCCCTAGAGAATATTAGTCAAGGGTTGTATGAAGGCAGTATTGGGAATAAGTACATACCACGGCGGGAACATCAGCAACAACGGGGATGTCAAGCTTTTCGAGTTCTTCTCGAGGCCCAACACCGCTGAGCTTGAGGATCTGTGGGGTATTGAAGGAACCACCTGACACGATGACCTCCCTTGAGGCGAGCACGGTTCTAAGTTCCCCTGTCGTGGAGGAATCATATCGTTGGTCGGCGGCATAGAGCGCATCACCGACCATGTACTCAACTCCATTTGCTCGAGGAACTTTGCCTTTTTGGTCAAACAATACTCTGGTCGCGAGGGAGCGTGTGCTGAGTGTTAGCGGGTATTTCTTACTGCCGTCAGCGTTCTTCGCATTCAGCGTATCCACGATATAAGTGCGCGCCCCAGATCGACGCTTGGTCTCAGTAACAGCCGACACGAGCATGAAAATACCCTCAGAGTACTCCCCGGGAGGATAAGGATCCCGGACAAGTAGATCGGCCAAAGCGTCAGTGCTGTTGGGTTCAATACCTTCGACTTCCAGGGAAGCCTTTGAAAGCTGGTCCACCACACCAGGTGATCGCGTGAGATAAGTGACGTTGTTCCGAGAAAGCTATATCTGTTAGAAATTGGCATCAAGGCAAGCTGGGGATAAACATACTGTTATGAAGCCGCCGTCAAACCCATGACCTGGAGTACCTTGAGGGAGATAGTTGCAGTTCTCAACCTTCATGAAGTATTCCCTCATGGCAGCCGCCTCGAATGATTTGTCCCCGGTTACTTCGGCGATATAATTCCACTTTGAATGTCGAGTTAGCCTATATTTCCCTTGTAATAGAAGTGACAATAATCCAAGGCTGCCATTACTCACCTCATGGTCAGGCGGGGGGCCAAGATTCATAGCATTCACCTGAGTGCTGCCGCCCACAGTGGCACCACGTGGGTAAACAATTCCTAGCCTTAAAGCGTCGAGATCAGTACAAGGCCAAGGCTAGTACAAGTATGAAAACTTACGGTTCCGCACCCTCAGGCGGGTTTGGGCCGATATGGTAAGAGCCGTTGGTCGTGAGATAGGTGTAGTGAGGATCACGGTACGCCTGCGTTTCGTTGTTTCGGTAGTGGTGGACGAAGAATTGCCATGAAGAGTTCAGGCCCTCTGCTGCCTGACCCGAACTGCAAGGAGATGGGAGAGTTAGCCCCGCCAAACCTGTGTAATGAGGGTAGGAATAGATAGAGGTTATAACAAACAGCGCTGGAATTTGTTGAGTAAGTTCATCTCCCCGATTTTCACCTGCTTCAATGAGAAAGACAGAGTGACCCTTTCGAGCCAAAGTCGCCCTATATTAAAGCAAGTTGTGAGCACAGAACCGTTATCAAATTGTGAATGAATAGAGACTCACGCCACTGCTCCTCCTCCCGCACCTGAGCCTATGACAACATATTCATACTCAGCTTCGCCCGTGACTTTGGGAGCCATAGCTCCCCAAGCCGTAGCTGCAAGCCCACTCAGAAAATAGGCTGATCTCATGTTATCGAATTTGATGGAAAGCTCGATATTGTTTGGATTGCTGTGAATTGATACAAACTTGATATGCGATACGCAGGTATTTATACCCAATAATCTCTAAGATATGCTCTCGGCTAACAGCTGTTCCGAATATCCCGGTCTATAATGCGAAAAGACGTTCAAGATCCTAGAAACGGAGTTACCAGGTCACTTCATGTTAAAAGCCGAATACGGTAGGCTCTCTGCTCATCTCCTATGTGGGCGTTCTCGAAGCCGGCTATACGGGCTTTAATTAGGGAAGGTATCTTATGGAATGTGGATCATTACCGCGAACCGAACCCTTGGCTGGGTACTAGCTAACTAGGTGTTTCCAAGAAGTAAGCTTACCATGCAAACTGCTCACTTCCCATGCAAGCGGCTCACTATACTCTGCAGGGAATGTCCCTCGGACTTAAGACTCATCATGAGAACAAGGATTGGGCTACTATGTTTCAACGTCTTGTTGTGAAGAGGTTAAGGGGCAAATTTGGGTATCGTCAACAATATAAAAGTCAAGAATCTACAGAAATCACCACCAGAAAGCGAGTATTAGATACAGCACAGTCTAGCGCTCAAAAGTAATCTTGTTGATCTCATGCTATAAATGATTGAGATTCACATCAAAGTTACAAGTCAGTACCTATCTCTAAAATCCTACTCCTAGGATTGCTATCCATAGACTGTTGACTAATGCTAATATTGCATTGATAGGGATATACATATTATACAATCGGGAATGGGTTTTTACCGGAAACCTCTATTGATTTGACAACGGGAACGTACACGTCGTGGTGTCAAAGGCGCTGCATAAACAGGCTCTTTGGTTTTTTGACTCCATTATTAAACCCTCAGTCTTTGCTGGGGGTAACTAAACAACCGCACATAAAGTTCCTGCAATACCATCCGCCTTCTTCTTAATCTTAACATATCTCACCCCTCTTTCATCCGATCACTTTCGGTATCCCAGTCTAGCGCTTAAGGGGCCTCGTGCACATGGTCTTCGGTTAACTCATTGCCCGTCATGTGAGGATGCTGATTAACCTGGTTATAGTTCGGTGGCACCGACATCCGTTGATGTTGGCCGTCTATGATGGGCTTGTCACCTGCACCAGACGCAGACGGATGAGCGTTGGTGCTCCTGTTGGTCGTTTGTAGGTGCCTCCAGAAAAAGAAAGCAATTGCAGCAGTCAGAAGGACTCCAGCAAGTGTTGCTCCGACCGCTATCCCGGCGATGGCTCCAGCCGAAAGCCCAGAACCGGATACTTGCGAATCTGCAGTAGTGGTTGCAGCCGTGGGAGCAGCACTTGTCGACGAACTTGACCCAGATGTCGTTGTTATTGCTGTTGGAACTCGAGACACATTGAAATAGTGAGAATCCGTAATCATTTGGTTTCGCTCCGAGGCGTTATACATTACGAGCCAGAAAACGGAGTTCTCGCCCTCAGGAGGCGACGCACCTCTCAAAGTCTGAGCGACAGTCCACCGGTAGCTCGTACTGGAAGTGTTTCCTAGTAGTTGATCAGCTTGTCTTCTCTGGCCTGCTTTCTTGATGTAGATTGCGCGAATTGCGGTTTCATTTACTTACGGACCACATAGGCGCTGTAGTAGGCAGTATTATCTGACGGAACGGGGTATTTCTGAAAGATCCCAATGTCGACATATGTAAGATCCGACTCCCACAAGAATTCAACTGGCTGACCCTCCTGGTAGGTGGGATTATCGCGGTAATCGCCCGAAATGCCACCAGATGGAGGTTTATTGAATATGTCCCTCGATAGAACCAAGCTACAAAGCCCCAGGAGGCTCGCGCCAAACACGACTGGTTGCATGATTGACCTTTTCTAATGAACTCGAAGACACGGAAGAAGCTGAGAACTTAGTCGTAGAGGATGGGAGGAAATATGTGCAAAAAAGAAGAGCTCGAACGGACAATTTGCCAAACAAGGGGTCGCACAATCAGCCCCGAATGGTGGCTGATTTCTGTCGTCAAACCAAAGATGGTACAAGGGCAACTGTGATACCTTGTATGGGGACGACCTCATGCGGATATACACTCTATGTTGTTCGATTCAAATTAAATGATGCACATGTGTGCATAAGTCAGCCTATCGGGTCCGAGCAAAAGTCTCATTGGAACGATTGATCGGCATAGGTAGTCTGACAATCTTCTTGGTGGCGTTTCAGGTTCTCAGCCACTTGTGTGACCACTTTGACGAAGACTTTTTGTGCTCGTCTTCCTTCGTCCTCTCCCATACTCTCGTCATTTACGGAATATTGACAAGCTCACGCGCTGTTTGCTTTCGTAAATGTGAACCAGCGTACGCCTGTCGTTGAATTACTACAAAAGAATTAGATCCAGAAGTCATCCCGTACTATGAAGCTCTCCTAATGTAGCATGCTGGCCTTTTATTGACTTGACTGCCTACGCCATACTGGCAAGTGTATCATTTTGATATAGGGACCGAGAAGAGATTGAAGAGAGGGCTGTGGAATTTCTGCAGCCTATTCAATTGGGCGAACCATGCCATGCCATCGAGGTCGTTGTAGAGAGCATCAAAATCCATCTGGAACCAAACATCTTGACAAAGTATCTCCCAGCCTTTAAATACGAGATTAATGCATAAACACTACAGAGGTTATTATTCAAAAACCTTTCATTGAAAGTGCCAATGTTTCGACAGCCCCCCAGTTCCTACCTTTTAGTACCATTATATTCCCAAACCTCAAAAACCCCCCTTTCCGCCTTTCCATAAGTCTATTCGTTTTTTCACACCCTGACCATAATGCTTAAGGCTCAAATGACAACAGCTACCAAACATAAAAATCATCGAGACCCCAGTTCATTAGAACCAATTGGCTTCCGGCTCCCTTTCTGCCAAAGGTGGTCCCCTCATGAAATGCTTCCCAGCCTCAATCTCGGTTCGCAAATCAATTCGTGCGAGGTCGCTATACGCATTCTGAATTCCTTCAACTTTGCTGTTGAGTCGCCTCATTGACATGTCAAATCCCATGTCATCCTGGCGAAACTCTTCCTGTCTTCCCTTGATCTGTTTGAAGCCGAAAACTCGGACCAATAGGATGTCCGAGGCCATGAGAAGCTGCACCGGGAGAGATCTCTCCAACTGAGCCCATGTTAGCTCCGTAAGCCGACGGCCGGGCTCCCAAGGGACGTGGTCGACCCCTGTGCCGCGGTCAAGGAGGAGAAAGTAGTGATAGTGCAGCTGTGGTAGAGGTACAGCATTTGGGTCAACATCACTGTGTGCCTCGTTTGACGATTCAGCTTCATTCATGTGAGCATCGTCGCTAGTTTGAAACTCCAGCTGCTCATCTGGTTCTCGAGATTCGTCGGCTTGAAGGGGGTCTCGTGGGGGTTCAAGAACAGGTAACGCCTGTCCAGGGGCTGGTTGGGCTTCCCTAGCTTCACTGGTGTCGTTGCTGTTGTTGGTTTGGGCATTCGGCATCTCATCAGGCCCCAGTCTTGGAGCCTCGTTGATGCGAGGGGGGTCGGGAGGGTCTTGGTTTTCGTTGAATCCATGTCGACCAGTATCAGTATCATGCTGGCCTAAATGCTCATCCCAGATATCAGCGGCGATCTCGTCGATGTTTCGATCATATGTGGGCATATCGGCGGCCAACCCAACCTGTTTGTTCGCCACATTGGTTGGTTCTGATGGGCCCTCTTCTATGTTCTCGGTGCCATTGTTCATCTGTTCAGATTGCGTGTCTGAATCGGAATCACTTTCTGAAGAAGCCGAGGACCCCATGTATTCCTCCAATATCCTTTCAGATGCGTAGCCATCCTTGCGAGGGCGTCTTCTATTCCTGGGCGGCATGTAGCGTCTTGTAACATTCCCTCGCCTGGGAATGTTGCGACTCGCTTCGCGTCCGTCGGTCCGTCGAGGCCCAGGATTCGGATTGGGAGGGGAGATATTGTCAGTCGCATTGTTGAGTGTTGCACCATCGAATTGGCCATCCTGGTTCATGTCAGCGTTATTCTCTTGCGGTCGTAGAGGTCTCACTTGGCCTGGAGTACTGTCTTGCTGAACAGAGGACCCTTGCTCGATGCCGTTGGCAGCAAAGGGGGGCACTGAGGATATTCCCGGTGCCCCTGTATCTTCTTCCTTTGCAGCAAAGGTAAAACTTGTGAAATCCGCTCCATTTTCGGGACCGGGAGCTTCTCTAGGTGCAGGGGCAGCACCAATACCCCGGAGGTACCGCAAAATCTCAAAAAGCTCGTGATCTTGGCGCCCCGATTTTCTCCCCTGCACTGTTATCCCAATTGGAAGCCCAGCAGTTAAGCTATACTCGAAATCTATTCGTAGTTGCATAATCCACTGAACAGGCTGTAAAACTGGGGCGCCAAGATTACGAGTTCTTTGATATAATACGGTAGCCGAAGTCTAGCTCGTCCACTGGGCAAGGATCAGCTGTAGAGTCACCGTGACTTCTAAGTATATTCTTAGCTGTCGCTCCCCTTCTTGATTTTTTTGCTGCAGATTTCTTTTCGTTTCTATTCAGCCTCCAGGAAATCTGCTTTAGCAGTTTTCTGATTCTTTTCGTGGATTTTCTGGTAAGCACAAGGACGCGGCGAAGCAGAAGAACGTAAGGAACGAGAAGCACTTACTTAGGTTCGTCTTTTGAATGAGTCAGCTTGTTAGCGTTTGTTGAGTCCTCGCTGTTTGGGTAGTTGTCTGGCCAGTATCGGGCGCCATTGTTATCATCTAGCATTTGATGGTCTCGTCGAAAGCGATCTGGCCCAGGAGTGCCTTCAGGTGAGACATAGCTCTTTCTGAAGGCATGTACACCTTCGACCCACCCGCGGTTGGCTTGTACCCCGGAGGGATAACCCAAGGCTTTTCTAATAGCTCGATGATTGGTTGGCTGGTTTTTAGTCAGTTACTCATCATCTCTCCTACGAGCGGGCATCTTGAATATGTTAAGTCAAGAGTATAGTAAGTGAGGCACCTGTGGAGTGTGCTTGATGTTCGAGCGTTTCTCCGAGGTGAGGTAAAGCTCGGCTCATTAAACCATTACCCCTAAGGAACAAAAGGTGAAGTTTTCCAATGTGGGGTAGGATTACGTCTGAGAGAAAGAACGGTTAGACAGAATGAACGGTCAGAGATGGCGCGCCGAGTAATACGGAAATTGGCCGTCGACGTTGCATGGTCCACCTGGCTTGGGCAGCCAACAAATAACCGCCAGACGCGACCATCCAAAACAACAGAAAGTGGCAAAATGCCGTCTTAGAAAGTAACATTATGAAACAATAGACCCTTGTAAGCGTTATCTTGGTGTTCTCACGACGAAACGACTGGTGAAAAAGTTTCCGGACAGAGTCTACAACGATTCTCGCACCAAGAAGGCGTATCAGAAAGTTCCTGTTTGCACAATAGTAAAGCTAAATACTTTGATGTCGAAGGTCCACCGTCATCAACACCCTATTCGCGTTCTATGTGTGGTTTGACGATGAGCGAGTAATTGAGATTTTTAACAGTAGTCGGGGATATTGCTCTTGTGTCTTGGTCTTTGTGTAAGGGAGGCTTTCCAGAAAGGCCTTAACTTTTTGGGACTACAATAATCAGTAAAAAAAAAATGGATTCTAGGGCGAAATAACTGGAAGGGAGGCGAGCCACGTCGCCATGCATCCTCACTTCCCCTTTGCTGTGCATGTTGACGTCAGGTGCTGATGCCACGCTCATCTCATAGCAAATTAGCCCAGCTCAGCCTTGAGCGGTGAACTTGAAAGCTAGTCAACATGGGGCATACCGGATTGTTCAATTCGTTGTCGAGATGCCGTGAGATACGAATAACCCTTCTGCCGATTTTATTCAAGCTGTGTTCATTCCGGCTTTCCATCTAGCAACTATACACCAAATTCTCTATATTTAAGCTTAATAAGTCATCACATAATTTCAGATGATTTCAGTTGATTCAAATTAGAAATTCCCAGCTGGCGAAGAGTATGCCTTGCAAGTACTAATTTTAGGTCCTAGCTATTAGTCGAGCTGCAGCCCCAACAACCAACAACCCACTCACACAGCGCTTAACTGAGGCCGCTCGCTGCTGTGTCCCTGGAAGGATTACATGTAGATCCACAGGGTATGTGAAAAAGGAAAAGAAAGAGAGAGGAAGAATGAAAAGGGGGAGAAGAATAGTTTTCATCTTCGTACCCGCGCCGCAAATAGCCAACATAAGTGAGCCGCTGTCTTCACAGATACATTAATTCTTGCAAACACTAATGGAATTTTCGAATGGTCTTTTTTTTCATTCAACAACATGGCCTGTCCTAGACAAGAAGCGTGACGTGTAGATGTCAATTTTTGGCGTGCTAGAGGCTGAGCGGGGCACCGATTCTCAAGAAACTTGATGATCAGCGCTTCAGGCCCATAAAATAGACTGACTTCAACTCAGCCCGTGGAATTCCATGCAAAATAGTATTTACTTAAGAACTAATACGAGGAGAGTCCATGGGGTAAAAGTCAGCCCTTCTTTAATTAGCTTCGAAACAAAACAACTCGTATCAACCTACGAAAGGTGGGTCCACTGTGCCAAGCATCCTTGTGATAACTTGAACCGAGCCACTTAATACACGTAATACGGGGTAAGATGCTAACGCAACCTTCGAAAACAGCTCGTAAAGTACCGCCTTGATAAGCAACTGCCTGAATAGGTAGCTGATTTGGCTTAACAAATGTGATGCGGCAGTTGAACCTTGGCGATTGTGTTATATTGCCGTGGTCTTTCTCTCATCTGAACAATGACTGATGCTTCATCTTGAGAAACTGCCCTATCGCCTCCAAACTACTCCAGTTACTCATCAACCTCTCTCGCAGTTAACATTGTCTTCGAACAGTATACTTTCAGCTTCAGCTTCTCTAACATGGGGTCACTACGCAGACTCTTCATCTTCCTCAACATACTCACCGCTGCGGCAGTCAAAAATGACTCTGTCTCTGAGTACAATTCGGCCCTCAGCGCTAGCCTGGCTTCGGAGACAGAAAAGCCCTCGCCCGCCACCCTTCACAGCTTGAATCTCGTCGAGACCTATTCGTACAAGGAGCTCAGACAAGTCATGAGACAAAATACCGAAAGCGAAATTACGAGTGCTGAGTTCACAACAACAGATGCGGTTTCAGCTACAGATGTTTCCTCAGAAGTCGCTTCATCAGAAGTTACCTCCTCCCAGGATGCCTCATCTACTGTACCAACGACATCTTCGACTTCCTCGACGTCTGTCTCCACTTCATCTACGACGTCTGAAAGTATTTCAAGTACTACATCATCTACCACCGAAGCTTCTGTTACGAGTACAACTTCATTGAGTACATTGACGTCAACTTCCTCTTCATCGACCTCTTCATCGGCCATATCATCAACCTCGACATTTAGACCAGGCATAGTCAACACAGGGACTGTCTGCTTCACCACCACCATGGCTTCCACCTCAGCCTGCGATGTGATTACCAGCAACGACCACAGGAGTACAAAAACATGCACGCCCACAGAGTTTAGTAGGAGCACATGTTCACCAAATCTTATATGCACAACCACCGTGGACGATGATGTTTGCATGGAGATTCAGGGAATTGAAACTGCGGGCATTATTATCGCTATAGTTTTCGCTTCTCTTGCAGTGTTTTGCTTTGGGGGCATATGTGTTGCAAGCTGGAGGCATTCTCGGAAACAGAAGGCTGCTGCTGTGAAGGAGGAAGCTGTAAGTCTTTTGAGAGCAGCGAGTAAGAAGAAACATCTAGCTACCTGAGAGGAAGTATTTGCCCGTAGCAATCGAACTGTTGTCGCTTGAGTGCTCCCTGTCCACCCGTATCCAACACTACAGAGTCCGCCCGTGACATTAGGTAGCTGCTCAAGCGGACGCCGAGCACCCTGTCCGTCTTCCCAAAGCCGTCCATAAACCCCGGATCCCCAGAAGCCTTTGCCGCCCAAGAATGAGATTTTATTTGACGTGCGCAAAGATCACTTCTCCCGTGTTTCTCATCGCTGCACGGCCGTAACCTTCACCTGAATTGGCCCCTTGTCCCAAAGGAGGAACGTCTTCTGCTGGTCCCAGTTTCTACTTTCGGGCAGCATCTCAATGTCAAAGGACCATAGAAGGCGCGCCAAGATGAGTCGCATCTCGGCGTAGGCAAGACTGTTGATTTTTTTTTGGGTGACACGGTCAGCACCTGTGTCATGGAAACAGTGGTCAGGGCGTTAACGGAGAGGGCATGCCAGTGCTTACTTTTTTCCAATGCAGTTATTGGGCCCGTAAGAAAAGGGGTTGAGCACCGCGCGGTTGTCAGACTTGTACTCGAGGTCACCAAGCCATCGTTCCGGGACGAACTTCTCCGAGTCTCGAAAATTTCGTTCATTGTGGTACGAGGAATATTGGGACACGGAGACGCTGGTCTGTTTTGTCAAATTTGGCATTAGTTTCTTCCTGGAGCATGATGCTAGATTCACCTACATTGCCTGGAATCCAGTATCCTTCGATGAATTCGCCCTCAGGTGGAGTGATCCTAGGTAGACCTGTAGGCACGGGTGGGTCTACTCTTGATTATCTGTCGTGATAGAGGTAGGTGGAGGAGGGTTTCAAGGGCGTGGGACTCACACATTCGAAAGCCTTCTTCAAAAACGGCAAGCATATGCTGCAAATCATTCACTCTCGCAAGAGTAATCTCGTCTTCCGACTCAAACGTAGATCGTATCTCCTCAGTGAGTTTCTTGTAAACACTGGGGTTGGTCAAAAGATGATAAGTTGTGCCGCTTAACTGTGTCGCCGTAGTTTCACTACCGGCAATAATTAGAAGTGAAGCATTCTCAACGAGTTCCCCCTGGGTAAGCCCCTTTTCATCATTGTGGCGAAGAATGTAGGACATGAAGTCTTCTCGGTCGGTGTTACCAGATTCTACGCGCTTCAAGGCGGTCTGTTGGCTGAGCTGATAGTGTTCCTTGGCCTTTTCCGTAATCCATTTCGGAATAACGAGTGAGCGAAGCGGCGCAAGGAACGGATACCGCCTTAAGACTTGGCCCAAGGACGCAGTACGGAGTCCATCAAAGATCATAGAAACCCAAGGGTGGTAGCCTCCAGCCTCAAGGCAGCCAAAAGGCTCACCGAAGGCAAGGTCGCCAATGAGGTCAAACGTGGTGAAATTATACCATCCTACAATATCTATCGTCTTTCCGTTCTTTGCATTCTCGTGTGTCTTGGAGATAAGTAAGTCGACATACTTCTTCATGACACTCTCTTGACCTCGCAGAGCCTTCTCGGAGAACGCGTGAGAGAGGAGTCGACGCATTCGCTTGTGATCATCATGACGCGCAATGATAATATGAGGGTTACCGGAAACGGTTTCGCGGTAGGCTCGGAGGTCTTTGTGGAATGTCTTGTTCGGCGATGTCTTGTGCCCATAAATCGTCTTCCATGAATCAGCGGTGGTGAATGAAACGTCTTCGGGTCCAAATCTGACGACATGGCCATGTTTCTCGTGAAGTTCTTGCAGCTTTCGGACCCAAGTGCCACGGGAGACATGATAGAGGTATGGTAGATCCGTTATAGCGTACAGCCTAGGGCCGGGGACTTTGGCGAGAGGATGGAAGCACGCCCGGTATATGGCTAGGCCAAGCACCCATAGAACCAGCTTTTGACATTTTAGTGAGCCATAGGAGACGATGGACATTGTATAATGACGATACTTACACCTCCAGCGGCAGCCAGTGGCAATATGCCTTTACTAAGTGGAATCTCCATTGTCGTCCAGGAATTGCCAAGGCCGCGCCCACAAGGATTTGGTGTTTGATGTTCTATTCGTCAACGGGGAGCACGAACCAAGGAGTCGATAAAATGCAGATATAAGAATGCAGAATCTTGGAGCTGTGAGGAATCATTGAATAAAAAATGGCAGCGGAAGAGTGTGGTATTTTATAGAAAAATCGCCAAGCCTCTGGCGATCTCCCGCTCGGCAATTGGTGCCAGCCCCCTACATCTTTTGCACCTAAAATCCATGGAATTTCCGCGGAGTTTTGGTTATATTCTCTTTTGAACGAGACATTTCCTCAAGAAAAAAATAGAACTAACGACATATAAGCCCGAATCCCGAATCTCTTGACCATTGACAGCAGGCGGCGGGTGCTACAGTCGGAGGTTTTACATCCCTATCTTGGCCCTGCAACTAACACCTTCCCGCTTGATAATTCCCGCTAAGTGGCGCGGACCGAGCCATCGAGATCAACATGGGAATGAGGCTTTGCCAAGAAGAAAAGAGTTCTAGATGGTGATAACAAGTGAAGCAAACGAGCTATTCGTCAAAATGGAGTAGACTTGGATTAAGACTGAAGAAGAAAAAGAAAGGGTTTTTCTTTTTGAAAGCCTCAAAGAGACATTTCTCAAGACGTAATTTTCGTCATTTGTTTAAGTAAGTATATTTTGACAATATTCAGTGATGGAGAGAGACAGAAAGCTGAGTCGAGCGAAACGCGCAACGGACAGTCGCTACGGGGGCCTTCGGGGTAGCAGGAAAAAAAAGGGAAGAAGAAATGGGTGTTGATGTGGGGAGATCGGCGCCTCGTCCCAATCCCGGTCCCACCACCTAAGTTACGGACTGGAAGTTTTCGGCATTTGTTGGGTAGTATCGCTCGCATAACACCGTGAAATGAATGCGACTCGCCAGATTGCTCCCGGAGTATCCAGTTCTATCTCTTAACAATTGGCCACCAAGACATTCATTCCATAATTACTGCCGAGAGCATTAGTAAGAGTGACGATTGCAGCAGCAGACCAGCTTCTACAATTGTGCAGTTTGGGACCCCATCTTGGAATATATGCTGTATCCCATCATTTATCGCCCATCCCTTGCTATCGACATATGGTAGACTAAGGAATGTGCAACCAGTTGGTGGATTTGACCTGGAATAATTGTCTCTTTTGAAACTTTCCAGATACATATTTTATGATCTTTTACGCTGGACAAGACGAATGATATTCCCATATCCCTCCGTTCGATATAGACAGTCTCATTGCGGAGTGGTTTATCTCGGCATCAGCTCAAAGTTCAGTGCAACCTCACCACAATTCGTAGACATGCATTGACAGCCAGCATGTGGGCAGTGATGAAAAGTACCTTAGATATAGGAGGGTGATCTTTCTGATCGTCAATCTAATTATTTATAAAATCTTTTTTACTTAAAAGTCCTTTAAAGCCATAATTCACTTTAAATATAATTAGTTCTCTATTTATACTAGCTAGGTTATTATCTGCTTTATTTTTGCTTTTCTTTAGCTAGATATTAAATTTTTTTTTTTATATATTTTCTTTCTTCCCTCTCCTAGAAAAATATTCGATAAAACTAATGCCTTCCGTTTCTAAGATACAAAGAGGTGGCTATGTAGCTTAATAATATAGATCATCACTCTACTTTTCCAGCTATATAAAGGTTAAGGTTTCTAAGCTCTTAGGTAATGCTATTATTTACAAATGAGCTATGTTCAAATCCTCACCCTGTGCTAATTGTGTAAAAATTCTTATATGGCCAGCATAAATAAATCAACCCCTGTGTGAAGATATGATTCAATTGAAGACGCTAACCCAATTGAGAATGCCCATGACTTCAAGGTACAGTGCGAAGGCTGGCTCGCAAAGGAGCCCTGAGAACTCTGAGAACTCTGAGAATGCCAAAGCCGAAGCCATGAAGACTACAAGAAGTTTGGTAGAGATGATTAATGGGAATTGCAACGAAAGCCCGGTATTTGGCGAGGAGAGACTTTCCGTAGTCGTATTTAATGTGGAGATTTCCTATGAAACCCCGAGGTCAATCGCCTCGCGAGAAGTTATGTCGCTCTTTCCGACCTTTTGAACGAGGCCAACAAATAAATAAACGGCTAGATCACTGAAATATTGAGGTGTTTCCTGTTATATGCTTCCAAGAGCGGGTGTTTATCTGGCACAGGCTCGTGGGCGACTTAGTTGGGATGGCCCACCCTGGCCACATCCTAGTCGACCACTACCGGAGACTAAAATCATGACGGTAAGTCTGTCAGCCAATTTCAAATGGTGAGCTGGCGAGTGGAGGAATGGCCTGCTTCGGTGCTCCCTGGTTCCGGATTATGTTCTTGGAATTCCGTCAACTCTGCTTACCTTCGCTCCTCTCCTTTTCACTCCCGACACGACTTTGCCGGCCACAATGGCGGCCTATCTAACCTCGGAATCAATTCCCTACGCCAATCTCTTTGCCCTTGTGCTGCTGCCATTGCTTGTGACATATGCAGCCACCGCCATCGGCAATCGGGGGTATCGCAATGGGGACGCCTCGAGGGAGCCGCCCAGGGTCCCGTATTGGATACCGGTGCTTGGCAACACCTTTGGGTTCGCGTACAACACGGAAAAGTTCCTCGC